CTGCCCATGATGCTGTGGATGTACTCAGAAGGCGTCGCCAACGCCGTGCGGCGCAGCCGGGCCAGGTACTGCGCCCGCGTCTCCGTCTTGCTCGCGGGCCAGTCCTTCTCCTGCCCCCTCATGCGCTTGTTCAGATTGGCCCAGAAGGCGAAATCAAGCGGCATCAGATCAGGGGACCGCTTCGGCAAGTCCAACGTCTGGATGCCAGCGGACTTCTTCGCCGCCATGCCCGAGCGAGATTTGTAGCCCGTGGGGTCGTTGTCTTCCATGACGCGGAACTTGCCGCGCACGGAAGGGTAGGCCCTCTTCAAAGCGGGCTGGAGCGCCCCCGAGTACATTCGCCCCGCGGCTGCGGCGTTCCACCTGCCGACCACCTGGTGCCACATCAACACCTTGCCCGCGCCGATGGCGCACGCGATGGTCACGGAGCCCTTGCCCGAACTCTGCTTCAGAACCTGGGGGCGAGCCAAATCAGAGCGCGCCGTCGGCCACTGGCCTGGCGCTGAGTGGCCGCGGCGCGGTCTCCGATTTGCGCCAGCCCGAGAACCTTAGGGTTGCTCGGCTTGACGTGGCCCACGGAGAAGTCCCGCTTGCGCTTCCTGTACACCCCGCGAACCTTGCGCTTTGCCGCCACCTTCCTGTACTTCGCATTGGGCAGCACCTGGAACACCTTGTTGTCCATGCACGCGTGGACGTACTGTGACCACTGGCTGGGGCTCCGGTGCTTGTGCTCGCGGGCCCACTGCAGGCGCTCCTTCTTGTCCCCATCAGAAAGGTCAGGCTTCTCGTACAGCGGGCGGAACTGGTAGCCATTCTCAGCAAACGCGCGGCGCACTGTCTTGATGTCGCATTTCAACTTCATCTCGGACTTCAGCATGGCTGCCGTCACTTCCTTTGTGCCGCCCGAGGACTTCAGAAGCTTCTTGTAAGCGCGCTGGGCAGCGAGAAACCCTTTGGGGGTGCGGATGGAATGCTTCGGGCGGCCCTTGGACTTCTTGGTCGTGTTCTTTTTGAACAAATGCTTCGAGACGGTGTCCGTGGAGCGGCTCAAGGCCGCGGCGATCCTCTTGACGCCCATGCCGCTGTCATGCAAGCGGCGCATTGCGACGTGCTCGTCGGCAGATACATGAGTGAAGGATTTCGGCGACATTCTCCGTCTGTGGAGACAACGACGGGCCAAATGCGCTCGGTCCAGAAAGCGCTGCGGTCATCCTTCCAACGGGGGCATCCTGAAAATGGCTGCAGTCCAGTGAGCGAGGGCATCCTATATCTCGGATGCCCTTTTTCCATTAGTAGCGCCATAGGTTCGGGTGGCTTCTGTCCGTGAAAATGGTCTAGATCTGCGCGACATGCGCGCGCAGGTGCGCAAGGGGGATCCATTTTGGGATCCCCCCTCGCTGCTGCTTCGTCGGCTGCCCTGTGGCTGTATCGTTGGCTGCCTGGTTCCTGGTGGCCTGCCTGCTCGGCTGCCTGTTGGCTGCCTTGCTGGCTGCCTCGATGGCTGCCTCGTTGGCTGCTTTGTTGGCTGTCTCGTTGGCTGCCTCGTTGGTTGTCTCGTTGGCTGCCTCGTTGGTTGCCTTGCCGGGTGCTGTGTCGGTAGCCTCGTTGGTTGCCTTGCTGGCTGCCCTGTCGACCGCCTCGCTGCCTGGCTGGCTGCCTCGTGGGCTACCTCGTTGGCTGCCTCGTGCCTCGTGGGCTACCTCGTTGGCCGCCTCGCTGGCTGCTTCGCCAGTTGCCTCGACGGCTGTTTTTTTGGCTGCCCCGCGGGCTGCCTCGTCGGAGGCCTCGTTGGCCGCCTCGCTGGGTGCCTCGTAGGCTGCTTCGTTGGCTGCCTTGTTGGCTGCCTCGCCAGCTGCTTTCCTGAAAGCCTACCAGACAACGCCCCCATCAATATCACGAGCAAACGCCTATCCATCTGCCATGGCGACGATGAAGGGAGCGCGGTAACCCAGGACCCAAGGACGGCGAACGAAGGAACAGCATGCGCAGAGAAAAAATCGCAATCATGTGTATGCGCTGACTATATCACCCTGGGTAGGAATAAACCGACCCTTTCGCAGCCTGGGGAACGATGGGGCCTCGGAGGCCTCAGGATGGCTCAAGGCAGCCCTCCACAGGACCGTCTCCAGCTTTCGATAATGCACCCGATGTCTGTTGTGGACGGTGGGACGACAGCAACATGTAACCCTGGGCAGGCAAAATCGAACTTCCCGCAGCTCCGGTAATCCATGGGGCCTCCGAGGCCTCCAGGACGGCCCAAGGCAGCCCTTCACAGGACCGTCTCCTTCCATCCCTCTTTCGGCCCCCTCCGATCCCCTCCCCTCCCCGTTCCCTTCCCCTCCCCTCCCCTCCTCCCCATGCCCTCTCTTCCCCTCCCATCGCCTCTTCGTCCCTGCCTCCTCTGATTCACTCCTCCCGCACCTGCTTAGAAATCCTCCACGCTCCACCGCTTGATCCTCCTCCCCACCACCTCCCATTCTCATCCTTCTCATTCCTCCTGTCTCTCACTACTGTTCCTGGTCCTCCGCATCCTCATCCTCATCCCCATCCTCCTCTTCCTCCTCATCCTGATCCTTATCCTCCTCATCCTTCGCTTCCTCCTCCACCTTCTCCCCCAAGTCATGGGATCTTGGATTTATGAGGGTCGCTTTGAGCAATGTGCAGAACTACACAAACCTTGCCATGGACAGTAGATGGACAATATATTCGAACCCTCACACATTCGAGGGAGATTCTGAATCACCCCCGCGCCCCCGACATCAATGTTGATCTCAGCAAAGGCGGTGCTTTGGGGTTCGAATATTTCTGTCCACTCACGCCCCCCCCGTCGCCACGCCATCAATATTAAATTCGGGGGTTCGGGGGGGCATCTTGGGCCACAGGGTTCGAATATAATGTCCATGTACCAGGTGGGAGTAGGGAGGAGGGAGAGGAGGAGACTGTACAGATGCCACAAACGTCAGCATTACAATCATAATCGCCCTCATCGGCGGCATCATCTCCACCATCATCATCATCATCATCATCATCATCATCATCATCATCATCAGTATCAGCATCATCAGCAGCATCATCATCTCCCACAACCCTCAAGGAGGAATGAGGAACAGGAGGGAGGAGGGGGGGAGGAGAACGAGGAGAAGGAATAGGAGGAAGATGGAGGTTCCGCTCCTGGGCGTAAGACGCTGGGGCAAGGGGTGAGACGTTTCAGGAGGAGTGCGGAGGGGTCTGGAGGAATGGGAGAATCCCAGAGGATTGGGAGGAGTGCGGAGGGTTGAGGGGAAATGGGACGGTTGTGGGAGGTGTGGAAGGAGTGCGGTGGCGTGGGGAGAACTGGGAGGGTTGCGGAGGTTTCGGGGGGAGTGCGGATGGGTGGGGAGGAATGGGAGGGTGGAGGAAATCTCTTTGGGGAGGAGTGCGGAAGGGGTGAGGGGGAATGGGACGGTTGCAGAAGGTTTGGGAGGAGTGCGGAGGGATGTGGAAGGATAAAAGGGTTGCGAAGGTGTCGGGAGGAGTGCGGAAGGGCGCGGAGGAATGGGAGGGTTGCGGAGGTCTCTTTCGGGAGGTGTGCGGAGGAGTGGGGAGGAATGGGGCGGTTTCACAAGGTTTGGGAGGAGTGCGAGGGGATGTGGAGGCATGTGAGGGTTGCGAAAGTTTCGGGAGGAGTGCGGAGGGGTGTGGAGGAATGGGGGAAAAGCGGATATGTGCGGATGTCCCGGGAGGAGTGCGGGGGAGTGGGGAGACATGGAAGGGCTCCGGAGGTTTCGGGGGGAGTGCGGAGGGATGTGGAGGAATGGGACGGTTGTGGAGCTTTCGGGAGGAGTGCGGAGGGGCCTGGAGGAATGGGGGAGGTGCAGATGTCTGGGAGGAGTGCGGAGGGATGTGGAATGATAAAAGGGTTGCGGAGGTTTCGGGAGGAGTGCGGAGGGGCGTGGGGGAATGGGAAGGTTGCGGAGGTTTTGGAGGAGGGCGGAGGGATGTGGAGAGATGGGAGAGTTGCGGATGTTCGGGAAAAGTGCGGAGGGGTGGAGAGACTGGCAGGATTGTGGAGGTTTCGGGAAGAGTTCGGAGGGGTGTGGAGGACTGGGACGGTTGCGGAAGGTTTGGGAGGAGTGCGCAGGGTGGGGGGGAATGGGGCGGATCGCGGATGTTCGGGAGGAGTGCGGAGGGGCGGAAAGAATTGGACGGGCTCCGGAGGTTTCCGGAGGAGTGCGGAGGGATGTGGGGCAATGGGGGAGTTGCGGAGGTTTTGGGAAGAATGCGGAGGGGCGTGGAGGAATGGGAGAGTTGCGGATGTTCGGGAAGAGTGCGGAGGGGTGAAAAGAATGGCAGGATTGCGGGCGTTTTGGGAAGAATGCGGAGGAGTCTGGAGTAATGGGACGGTTGCGAAAGGTTCGGGAGGAGTGCGGAAGGGTGGGGGGAGTGGGGCGGTTGCGGAAGTTTCGGGTGGAGTGCGGAAGGGCGTGGAGCAGTTGGGAAGAGTGCGGAGGGGCGTGGAGGAATGAGAGGTTTCGGAGTTTTTGTTGGCGGAGTGCGGTGGGGTGCGGACGACTGCAGGGGAGTGGCGAGGACTGGGAAGGAGTGGGGGGCCTGCGGAGGAGTTGGGAATGAATGGAATTTAACGGAATGCAGCGGGGGGCCTCTGTCGTAGACCTCGCCCGAGAGGGCCTCCAGGGGGGCCTTGCGAAGATCCACGGGGGCTCCCCAAAGAGGCTCCACGCGGACTGACGGACGGGCCCAGAGGCGACAGCACTGGCATCGTCGACGGTGATGGTCGGGGTCGTGCCGGGCCAGAAGCACGACGTGCCCGTGGCGGTCGTGCAACGCTCTAGGGGTCTGCCGAAATTGTCGGGGCGCGGCATGCGGAGTCAGCCATCGGGGCCTTCCGTGGAGTTCCCGATGGGGCAACGAGGTGTGGCAACGACGATAATGGCGACAGTGATGATGGCGATGATGGTGATGATGTCTGCGCGCAGCGACCCCAATCGCACGCGGCAGGACTACTTGGGCTTGAACTTAAGAGCCTCGCTTGTGACGAGGGTCGAGAAACAGCGCGGGCACGGCACTAGCTTCGGGGCCGGCGGCTTGGGAATCGGCACAGTGAATAAGTACAGTTTCAGCCGCCGGAGCAGCATGCCAGCCTGCCCCTGCGGGCGCTGCGACGACTCGGACGAGAGGCCCGCCAGCGCCGTCTCGGGGCAGGTGACAAAAATCGGGGCGGACCCCATGTACACCTTGTGCCCGACGTGCTGGTTCTGGGGCATGGTGATGGGCACGGGCTTGCCCTCCAGCCACAGGAGCTGGATGGACAGGGGGAGGTCCTCATCGATGAACATCCACTCGTCCAGCACCGCGGCCTTGGCCTTGTCCAAGCCGTGGAGGCAAAACTGCCCCCCGCCTGGCCTCTCCTGCACGTGCTCACCGCCGAACAGCGGCCGAACCGCCGAGAAGAGAAGAGACTTCCCCTCTCCGCCGAAGCGCCCAGCCAAGGTGACCACCGGGGCCGCCTCGGACCGACCGTGCTTCAGGGACATCAAGATGCTGCTGCACAGGTCGGGGACGTCGATGCGATTCATCGACAGGCTTTCGCGGACGTGGTGCAACCAGCGGCCGCCGCAAACGCAAGGCGTCCGCAAGGCCTCCTTGAACTGTTGCATGACGGGTTTCGTCGCGTCTTCGAGGAAGCTGTCCACGTTCTCCCACGCCCAGGCCTTGTCGATGATCTTCTCCAGCACGTGCTCGTTCTTGAACATCCAGGCAACCACCTTGTGCGAGCAGGACGTCTTAGCGTACGCCATCAACTTGCGCACTGCGTGGGGGTCGTCCGGAGTATTCCGGATCCCAGACCTGACCACTATCGGCCACAGGTCCACTTCCTCGACGCGAGGCTCTGGCTTCCCCTTCTCGCCCTCGACCTGCTCCCGCGCGGTCCTGCGCTTCTCCAAAGCGCGGGCGGTCGTCGGCTCCCTCTTCGCCGCGGACAGCGGCGGGTGGTCCGCGGGCCAAGCCAAGTAGTCACGTCCAGGGCGCTCCGCGGCTTCTTGGGCGTCGCGTTCGCGCAGTACCCGACGGCCGACCAGTGCCCGTCGTGGCTGCAGGACCAGTGAGAGGCGAGTTGGTACCTGTTGAGCAAGGCCCGCTTCACGGTCAGGAACTTGCTCTTCTTGCCCAGGTGCAAGGCCACGTGGTAGTGCGCCCGCCGGACGCCTGCCACTGGCGCGTGGTATTCTTTGAATACCACCAGCTTCTTGACCCCGACGGGCGCGGCCCCCTGCCCGCGGTGGCTTGCGAGCCACGCGGGGTCGGCGTCCGGAGCGCCGCAGCAATCCAGGAAAGCGTCGCGGACCTCCTCCCGCGAGAAAGCCGCTGGCGCTCTGAGACCCTCCTTGTCCGTGTGCGGCAGAGTCACCAAGTAGACCTCCCGCGAGGCGTTCCTGTTCTCCTCGCCGACGACGTGCTCGAGGAGCGCCGTCTGCTGGCTCTGCTTCCCCACGAGCCTGCGGCGCTTCTCTGGCCTGTCCACCGAGAGCGCCCTCCCCCCGCGCGACCCGGCCAGGGCCAGCCCCCGCCCCGCTGAGCCGACAGGCTACAGAGAAAAACGCAATGCGGACCGTCGGGGTCTTCGGGGGCATCGTAAACCGCCGCCTGGCTGCTCAGTTGGGGAGCTCGTTGCACCTGGCGTCGTCTGCGCACCTGTCGCACTTGGGCGCTCCCCGTTCACCAGGCGCGTGTGGCCCACCTGTCGCGTGCCGCGCACCTGTCGCACGCGGCGCACTTGGCGCGCCTGGCGCGCCCCCTGCACCTCTGGGCGGGGTCGGCGGATCCTGTCCATGGATGCCGCTCGCGCGGCATTGTTGGACATGTGCAAACATGCATAAACATCATACTGAACCTACAGTGAACCATCAGTGAACCAACAGTGAACCAACAGTGAACCATTGCAAATTACATAGTGAACCTCAATTTTTATTTAAAAAAAAAGAAGTTCCCTACTCTTTTTTAATAGAATTCGTGGTTCACTATGGTTTTTACGAAGGTTCACTGTTGGTTCACTGTTGGTTCACTGTTGGTTCACTGTTGGTTCACTATGTTTTTTTCTGCATGTCTCGTGCAAGGGGCTCTCTGGGGCCGCCAGGGCGCTGGCGCCTGGGGGGCCTCGGCGGACAGAATCATAATGCCAAGATCAGGCACTGTCGGCTACGTCTGCTGGCCCTGTAGCCGCAAGGGCGGTGGACGCACGGATTGGTCTTGATCGTGGACCGCGACTGGCTCCCTTCCCGCGCCCCACGTCGCTCGCGCGGGTCAACCGAGGCGCGGGCCGCTACGGGCCGCCCGCCGCCCCGGCCCGCTGCGGTCTGCGCCGCGGTCGCCCGCCGCCCTTGCCCGCCGCGAATCGCGCCGCGGCCGCCCGACGAAACCGCGCGCGCGCTCAGTTCCCACCGCCCTCGGCGAAGTGGCCGCCCTTCGCCTCGACCAACAAGCCGCAGCGCTTGTGCAGGCTGCCATGATGCTGTGGATGTACTCAGAAGGCGTCGCCAACGCCGTGCGGCGCAGCCGGGCCAGGTACTGCGCCCGCGTCTCCGTCTTGCTCGCGGGCCAGTCATTCTCCTGCCCCCTCATGCGCTTGTTCAGATTGGCCCAGAAGGCGAAATCAAGCGGCATCAGATCAGGGGGCCGCTTCGGCAAGTCCAACGTCTGGATGCCAGCGGACTTCTTCGCCGCCATGCCCGAGCGAGATTTGTAGCCCGTGGGGTCGTTGTCTTCCATGACGCGGAACTTGCCGCGCACGGAAGGGCAGGCCCTCTTCAAAGCGGGCTGGAGCGCCCCCGAGTACATTCGCCCCGC